TACAATCGACAACCACAATCTTCACGCATTAAAGTGATGGGGATCGACAATACAGTATTTTTCCACCATTAATGGTAGTTGTATAGATTGTTTTAGAAGAATACAAAAGGTATATATGTATGTATCCAATGATTGAATTCTTGGCAACTAATAACAGTACAAAGTGAGAACAATCTAGTTAAAAGATGTCATAAATGTACGTCTCATCAAACTCAACACGTGGCATCTTTAAAAAAACTACTATCTCACTCAGTACCCCAATAATACGAGAATAATTGGCGATTCAATTATTTAAATGTCAATTAGATACGAAAGAAGAAAATCATGTACAAGATCTTATAACTTTGGGTCGTTGTTAGAGGTATGTGTAGTAAGAAGAAATAGGGTCCATATAAACATGCTGAGAGAGAGAGACATGCAGATGCAAGTCGAGGTGTGGTGTTGGTGAGTATTAACTATTAACTTTTAAGCATGCATGGCCTATACCTACAGTGCATCCTTTTGGACATTGCAAGTTAATAGGGTTTTGTCAAAAATAAAGTGCATGCGAGAGTAACAGTCGCAACAATTGGTTTCTGTCGTGCTGGGGGGACGGTGACACCAAATTGCTTGGACCTTCTGCGCTCGTGAATCATGATCCCTGCTCACTCACTGCACACAACCGGCAAGGGTTCACTACACAGAGAGAGAGAGAGAGAGAGAGAGAGAGAGAGAGAGAGAGAGAGAGAGAGTATGTTGTTTAGCTTGTCTTGATTGATCAGATTGAAAAAATCGACGGTTTAAATTATGAAACATGATTCTGAATTGTGGAAATAATCCAACACCACGTCACGTGGCCATTTGCTTTCTTAAATAGATATCTATAGACTTCTTTTGAAGTTCTGCGAATCTGCACACGTTTTTCTGTGTGTACAAAGAATATTTAAGTACATAAGATAGAGTTTGTTATGTAATATGAAAGTTATTATTGTTTCATGTCGTGTAATAATACAGTTTCATGATTCAAACCGGTTATTTTCAATTCTCATTCAATATTCAATGACAATTTTTTAAAGACGAAATGACAACGTTTTATTGATAAAAATAGGAAAGATTAAAATCTTCAAAAAGTACATCCTAGATCAAATGTGAAGGCTCCTTAAAAGCCAAACCAACAAAAATCAAAAGTAAAGTATAAGGTCAACTTAGTAATTGTCTCTGCTACCGTATTGGCGAATCCACGAATATGACAAATCGAGATGACTCAAAGCAACGCCAAATTTCTATAGTGGATGGACTCTGCAATCAACCTCAATGGGGAGTTGCTTGGTGAAGGCGCCAACGGACTGCACCACCACCAACGCATCACTCTCAAGAACCACCTTAGAAAGGGCCAATGTTTTTTTTCCATGTGAACTGTAGCTTGGATTGTGTTCTTAAATATTTTTCTTTCCTTTTCTTTTTCAAACAATGCCGATAACACGATTCCTTTTACACCAGAAATCTAATGTTACTTTCAATTGATAGTGAGGCATTGAAATCTTTTCCCTTCAAAATACACATGTCTAAGGAATTTGGCAATTGAGGAAAGAGGATCGATGCTTCTTTGGCAATAAACTTTAGCTTAGGGCGGAAAAGGAAAATTCCATATTTGGTTGGAAATGTACAATTCGTGGTTAACTGTCTTGGTAATTTATAGAAGTGCATTAAGAAAAAGTTAAAGTGGAATTCATTTGTGATGGATTATTTTCATTATCTTTGGATTGAATACAGAAACATTGAGTGAACTATTCTCAACCATTGTTGATGTAAATAAATTAAAAAAAAAAAAGAATCAATGAAGGACTAAAATGCATCACGTGTAAACGATTGACAAACATTGGCATTATAATTAATAAATCAACTGGGTCGTCTCAAAGATTTCGGAAACTATGTGAAGAAATTCTAAACAGGCCCTTTTGGTCTGCTACCTAATTACATAATCTCACCAAAATGTACTGAAACTTTACCATGTATTAGTATCATAATTAAAAGAAATTTTATTATTAAAATAATATGATCAATCAATAAAATTAGTAGTGAACATATAAATGAAGTTATGAAACCAAACAAATGATGAATAATATAGTAAAACACTACATCAAAGGGCAGATCCACAACTTCAAATGATATTAAAAATTTGAAATCGAAAATCCACAAAGTCTTTCCTTAATCTCTTTATCTCTCACTCGGTTCTCTTAGCACAAACAAGTGACAAAGTAATTAAATCGCAAAGTTAATTAATCTAACTATAAATCAACCAAAGGTTGGACCCTTTTAGCTAGCTTACTTTTTGAATAGGGGCTAAGTACCATGCAACAAGGCACTTGTCTCTATCAAGAATCTCTAGCTCCTTCTCATCCAGACAAAGGTTCACGCTCATTTGAAAAATTAAACAGAAATTGGAAAAGTTCAAATGAACTTTCACAATCACGTTAACACGACGGGTTGATCTTATGGCGCAAGGTATGATATGATTCCTTAAGATATTGACTTGAAAAATTAAGGATTTCTAGAAATAAATAGCCTTTGTCAAGCCTTTTAGAACCACTTAATTAAACGTAAGTCTCAAGACTCTCATCAATTTTTAGACCCACTTAAATATCATGGTATTTGACAAATTAAGAGATTCTAATTGTTGGATGAGTCTATACGATTTTAATTTATGCAATTCAGGTATTAAAAATGAACGGAAGTATATAAGGGGAAAGATACATGTAAAAATCACTTTTCCGCCTTTAAAATTTTTACAAAATATTCAAACTGATAGGATCAAACTACAATATCATAATTTAGTTACAATAATTGGGCATGGGTTAAGTTTGCACCGTTATAATATCATGAAACTCTCAGCTGAAGTATAATATCATAATTTAGTTACAACAACTAGACATGAGTTAAGCTTGCACCGTTGTAATATCATCAAACTTTTAGCTGAAGTATGGAGACACCTCATAAAATATTAAGAAACTCTCAGCTAAAAGTATGGTGACATCTTATGCTTAAGATTGCAATTTGGAATTAACTTATATTGCTCATAGAAGAAGTAAATGGGAAGATAATTCTTTACTTGAGAAAATGAATGAGAATTCTGTTTTGTGGAAAATCCATCATTTGCAAGGGCTGCAGTCCATGTTGGATACACATGAGCTAAGTGGGCTGTTGGGTTAACTTGCTGGGCCTTCAATAGTACAGGGCTCTGGTCTAATGAGGCCCAACTTAGGATCAGCCCCAACCCAATCCAAAAATCCAACTTCATTTTTTTAAGTACTATGATTTCCAGGGCTGGTTAGGTTTGGATACCGCAAACCAAACCATATTACCGAACCGAAAATTTCGAGACGGAATTTTGAAAACCGAAGCTAAACCGAAATTTCGGTAATACCGAAACTTTTTCGGTGGGGTTCGGGACTGGGCCTTCACACTCACATTGTTGGACTTTTTTTTATTATTTTATTTAGATTTTGGGCTGAAATTTGGTCAGCCCAATTTTCTGTAATATTGAAAGTGTAACAAATTCAAGTCCTGGCTCCAAATCATACTTGATTTTCTGCGCTTTTTTTTGTTTTGAGAAATTTTATTTAAACCTATGTAACCTCTTTCTACATCTCATTTAAATTTTAAATGTTAATTTTCTATTTCACCTTAATGTATAATTACTATTAAGTACAAAATGAAATTAATAATAAAACTCAAATTTCTCAATAAACCCAGATACTGTAATTAAACCCTAGCATCACTCTTTGTTTATCCTACGTCCATTCTGACTAAAACCATAATAGTTTTGATAGAGAAAAACAAGGTTTTTTTTTATTGATGGATAGTGATTTTGAAGTTTTGAATCCTTCAACTAAGGTATGACTCGATTTATGGATATTTTGTTTGTTTGCTTCTTCTTTGAATTAAATTTCATGCTTATTATATTATATTGTGTTTTTTTTCTCTGCTGTCTGTTTGCCTCCAAAACACCATTGTAAGGACTTTTGATTAGTAGTGCAAAGACATATAACTTGATTCTTGGTGCAAATAACGATTGCCTAACCTCATAAACTCACTAGCGGGTGGGATGTCTCCATCCAAATCCAAAGCATCAAGTTCAAATGTTTTTCTAGCAAAGTGATGGACTGAACTGGAACTTGCTTTGCATTCTCTGGAAAATTCAAATCTATGGAAGGATCTCTTGGATTCCAAATCTATGGATGGGTTTGGTAGTAGGAAGAAAAAAAAAAAAAAAAAAACAGCCATGGAAATGCTAGTCATATGCAATTATATAGGGGAGGGTAGTTTAGGTAATAAATTTGGGTTTAAAGAGATATTAATTCTTTAATTAAAAAAATATGGGTGAAGAGAGTAAGTTGGATGTAAAAAGATGTTAGATGGGTTCAAATAAAAATTCTCTTTTGCTTTGTTACATTTCTCTTCTTCTTCTTTTTTTTTTTTTTTTTTTTTGTAGCAATTAAATTGAATTAAAAAAAAAAAAAACCAATGACTAGAATTAAGAAAGGCGCACAAGCAAGGAAAATAAGTGTGCATAAATCACTCTCGTGTGGATAGTAACCCACAATCTCATTTCTCTATAGGTTTGTTTGAATAAAGTGGTGGTAACTTATCTGGCTCCAAATTAGAGCCCCTTCATGAAAACAATCTAATTTCAATCCATAAGTTCATAACATCAAGTGTTAGTTTTAATCAGTTTTTTCAATCATAAGCAGTTAGGAATTTACGAAAAAAAATTTTAATATCACCGAGTCAATTTTCTACATACACATAACATGATCAAGTCTATAAAAATATCGTCAATAACGTGAAATAATATATCTTAATCACGATGTTTCGTAGCAAAGCTTAGAATTTATACTTCCAAATTAATTAATTAATTATATATGGTGAATATTCCTATCTCCTTTTTGTTTGTTTCTTGGATGCACCCTCTATTGGTATCAACCAAAAACATGTTATATGCTTTGAAACGCAATCGATTGTGGCTGAGAATCTGCACACTCCCCCACGGATATCATATCAGAAAAAGAATAAAAACCCATAAAATTTAGCAAATCCAAACTTTCATAAGCCAAAAGTAAAATTGAAATAAAAAAGTTTGGATCACAAACCTTTTGGCTCATGCGTGGTAACTCTTCCCTCCAAAACAGACAAACCAGATGCTCAATACCTGCTTTCATCTGCTTTACCCACAACCTCTACTGACAACCCAAATCCAAATCCAAGCTTTTTCTTCCAAATTTCAATGCAAGACTCAATCTTTTCCCCATAAATCCCCATCAATCACATGTTTTCCTCACTTCCTCACCAGAATCCCATCTGGGTACCCAAGGTTTTTTCTGGGTGCTCTGTGTTCTTCGAGTTCATTGTGTTCTGCTTCGCTAGAGGGGGAAGATTTCGACGTGGAATTGGGCCGTCTTTTGGCACTTTTGCCTGAAGAAATGCGGCGGAGGGTCAGCGAGCACCCAGAGCTTCACCAGTTGATTGAAGTGGTTATGGACTTGGGTCGGAAGCCTTTGGCCCGGTTTCCATCTGGGGACTTTGTGCTGTCGGAGCTTCCGATCACGCTTCAGGATCTCGAACAAGCTACTTCTCAGGTGAAATGTTCGTGCCCGCTAACTGTTCGAGAAAATGACTTGGATTGATAAAAGTTTAATTTGTGATAAGAGATTTAGTGTGGATATTAATCATAGTTGTTGTACGTATCTCATGAGTTTTTGTTTCTGGGTCAGCTCGGCTATGAAAGACAAATGATTTTGCCTTTGTGTTTTCGTAGTCGAAAATTCTCATCCTCTTGTTGCATTGTGAAAGGAGGAGTCTGGTTTAAAGTAATTGGCTTCATTGTTATGGGGATTTTGAGTTAAGAGCTTTACGTACAGGGTTAAAGAAGAGTAAATTGTAGTGGTGCATTTTGTGCATGAATGAATTAGATACTGTAGATCACGTTTTTTACACTATCCTGTGGTCTTGAGTCTTTGTTTGAATACCTTGTACTTACAAAGTTAAGCGCTTTTTTCTAAAGCGTTTTTATGCTTTAAGTGATTATATAAGAGAATACCATGCTTGCCACTTACCAGCTGCATGTTGTAGGTTGGTGATTTTGCCGTTGACAATCGAGCAGGCATTAGTAGGACATTACACCGCATTAGTGCCATTAGGAATCGAAAGGGTGTCATTATTGGTCTAACTTGTCGTGTTGGGAGGGCAATATCAGGCAGTGCTGGTTTGCTGCGTGATTTGGTTCAAGATGGCGGTTCTTTGTTACTCATTGGGCCTCCAGGGGTAGGAAAAACAACAATTATCAGGTTAGTCTCTCTTGTTCTCTCTATATTTGAGTTAACATACCTTGTCATAATATCTGATTCAGTAATTTACTCAAGATATCGCAGATATTATGTTTTTTTAAGGAATTAGAATTTTCAAAATTATGCAATTTGAAATATCCCGGATGAACTGTGAAGCCCCACATTTACTGATAATCTATCTTAACAATTACAAAATGAACACTATAGATGCCTAGGAAAATTTTCAGCAGTAACTTGCTAATAAGTATAAAATAAAATTAAAAACTTAAATTTACTCTCTAGATGGGAGCTGCTTTCCAATTTTTCCACCAAACCAAATGCCCAATTTCTTAAATTTATTGTACAGTGATATATAGTTTCTGGAAACTTATATCATTCTGATTTCTGTGATACTCTTACTTGTAGGGAAATTGCTCGAATGCTTGCAAATGATTATAAGAAACGTGTGATGATTGTTGACACCTCCAATGAGATTGGTGGGGATGGTGATATACCCCATGGAGGAATAGGCAGCGCCCGACGAATGCAGGTCCCCTTCTCTGATATGCAACATAAGGTATGATTCAAGAATGTAAGATATGAGTTATTTGTTGAATAGTGTCACCATCCTGTTATTTGTATTGACAAGATGAGGGTGAAAATTTCACGATTAAGAGTTTTCACTGATTGACGCTAAATTCAATTCATAAAATGCATATAGATAGAATAAAAGACTTACAACTAGCTATTGATATAATGGTATTGGCCTTCACTTTGTCAGGCCAAGTTCAAATATCACCTCGCCTAGATAAAAAGGAAAACATAAGTATATTGTATGGTTGTAACCCTCTCCCTTCTCAATAAAATAAACACATATATAAATTATAATAAGGAGTGTAAAAGGACATAGTTCCTCTGTTTTGTGCTGTGCAGCCTTGGCTATTTAGTTTGCTAACATCTTAGCTAGTATCTCATTAAGTTTCTGTGATATTGATACTGTAGTGTCTCATCTAATTCTTCTAGATTCAGATAAGCTGTGTTCTTATGTTCTGTTTTCATCATTAAATGATCCGCATGCTTATTATCTATTTTTATTCAGGTCTTGATAGAGGCTGTTGAAAATCATATGCCACAAGTGATTGTAATTGATGAAATTGGCACTAAACTTGAAGCATTGGCTGCAAGCACAATTGCGCAACGTGGAATTCAGCTAGTTGCCACTGCTCATGGTGTAACTATTGAGAATTTAATAATGAACCCTTCATTAGAGATGCTTGTTGGAGGAATACAGGTGAGGTAGCCATGGTAAAAAGTGATATGGCAATTTGCTGGATATGGTACATTCAACAGCATTGGCATGGCAGCATGACCTCTTTTTTTTATTCGAGCGATATTATGGGAGGGGGGATTCGAACTCAGGACCTCAGGTGCTAGGGAAAATGCTCTTAACCAACTGAGCCGCAAGCCCCTTGCATTTTCTCCCTCATCTTTGATTTTTTATTCTTTTCACTTGATTGATAAGCTTGATATTTAAGCATTGTGCTAAAATAGTGATGGTAGTGTATGGATCTTTTTATGCTTTTACACGAATGGTTCTTTTCGATTTCTATTTAATTTACGAATGGTTCTTTTCGATTTCTATTTAATTTACTTCTGTTGAATGTATAGGTTTAAGTTAATTATTGTTCAATTACATTTTTGCAATCAATTTTTAGAGCGTGACACTGGGAGATGAAGAGGCCAACCGGAGGGGGGTTCAGAAGACAGTGCAAGAAAGGAAAGGCCCTGCAACATTTAGTTGTGCCGTGGAGATAATTTCAAAGGATGAATTGAGAGTTCATTGTAGCTTAGAAACAACAGTGGATGCTATTCTCTCAGGTACGCTTCTTTAGAAAAGTCAATTCTTTTTAATTCTCTTCCTTCTGTAAATTAATTCTGAATCATGGTCTATTGGTGAAGGTCGTTTCCCAAAATTTGAGGTTCGTAAAATGCACTCTTGGGGACCAGAAACTACTGAAAGGGAAAATTTTACTTACAGTTCCTTGGATGAAGAGGATGAAGAGGACGAAGATGTTTTTGAAGATGCTCTAGATACGGCCGATAAAGGATCTGGCCATATTGATTTCAACCCTGAGGTCTCTCAAAATATGCGAGAGGATTATTGGGCTGTAGGAAAGCAACTTCGCGTGTTTGTTTATGGGGTAAGACATCATTACCTTGAAGCAACCACTTAGAAACAGAAACTGGTATAGGACAAGGACAAATACTTGAAAAGTGAACCTTTTGAGAAATGATTGCCATCATATTTGTGTTTCTGAGTAATTAATCTTGAAAAATGAGAGAAAAGTCTATAAATCCTATAGGATAGTAACAGAAGAATTCAAATTCCAATCACGTGTCATATTTTTCATTTGTCTCACCACTGTTTCTTTTAGAAGAAATTACAAATTAAATAGGCGGGTAGCATTTGCTTGTCTCTTCTTTTGGATATACAGCGGAAGTTTTTTCGTACTTGTCAACTAACACTGTTAGGTTAATGACTCACAAATCACAGCATCAGAGTAGAAAAATTTAAAATTAATCTTTTAACTACTGACAGAGGCTAAGTGGTCAGTGAATCATTCAGTAGCCTCTTATTTAATGAGGTTCCCTATAAAGTTATAAACTATTCTTGCTATCTCATAGCTTTTCGCTCAATATATATATATATATATATATATATAAACTCTGGCCTGGTAATCAGGTTATCATGGTTGACTGAAATTGCAGCATTGTTCGGGCCAGTGAACGATAATTAACATAAATTAAAAGTAGCACGAGTGTGATTACTTGAGCAATTTTCAATTACAATACTTACAGTTTGAGCAGTTATTGTAGATCCTAGAAGCCAGCGTGATACAAGTGATTAAACAGTTGAAGATGGATGAAGCTGCTGTACAGTTAACAGATGATATTAGCCGGGCAGATGCGCTACTTGCCTTGCAATCGAAGCTTAAGAAGAATCCCCGGCTTCAAGCTGTTGCTAAGTCTTATGGAGCACCTGTTTATGTCACTAAGGTAATCAAAACTATACTTTATTTGTTTTATCATAACTCTTCATTGTTATGATTTTACCATTGATTTTTCTTTCTTTTCCAGTCAAACTCATTGGTGGAAATTAGAAAGGCAGTTAGAGCATTGACTAGTGATCATAAAGATGGTCTGAAGGATTACGGGTCAGTAGACAATGTGAAGTCATCTGAAATGATTGATGCTTTAGAGGTGAGCCCAAATCTGATAATAAGTTAACAGAGAGTATACGGAAAATGGTTGAGGGAATTTTGATTCTTCAGTAATCCACTGGAACGTAAGGTCTAATAAAGTCTAGTCCAATAACTTTGCGTGTTATACGGTTCCATAAAATTGTACTCCATCTTGCAGGAGGCAAGAATAGCCATTGAGCAGGTTGTAATTCCGAAAGGTGAACCTGTGGAACTTCTTCCGAGGCCATCCCACATTATGTCTGCTCAGATGGACCTTATTCGCAAGTACCAACTAGAAGCAGAAAGAATTGGTAAGGAGCCAGATGTGCGACTCCGCATCCTTCCATTTCATTCTACGACAATAGAAGAGAATCATACTAGCAAAAGAGTTGGTGCCGATGATGGATTTGATGACTTTCTTGATACCAACGGTAACACGAATGGTTCACTCCCCATTGTGGACAGATTGCCATTACTTCCTGAATAGCTTTTGGGGTGTTGTTAAAGCATTGCTAGCGTTTTACTGCTAAAATTCATGATGCCACCTGCGAGCTTGGGTGAGGGTGTCTGCAAATCTGTAATATTACATCGTATTACCATGTTCGTAAGAGAGAGAGATGATGATAACATTTAATCAGATTGTACCGATATCATGCTTACGTTTGAACTTTGAAGTGAAACAAATGTTGTATGATCTTGATTTCTGTCGAAGAAACATGTCATTACTTTGTTTTTTTACCAGTTTCTATTTTTCATATGATCCCTTATGAGGAAAAAGAATTCCTACCTACCTCAAGAGACCATTCTAATTATTTCCGCATACTCGCTTAGAAGTGCTTCTTAGAAAAGCTCCACAAAGGTAGGAAGCACTTTGATACTTGAAAGCATTTTTGTCCAAATACCTATAAGTGCTTTTGGAATTGTTAGAACATTAAGGAAGCACACAGAATATCATCTTAATTTCTTATAAATAGTTTCGATTACGATGAAATAACATAACGTTTTCACTTTATAGATTGTAGGCTTTAGCCAAAATAATCTTTAAGATTGACATAACTCCTCACTTTGGTCCTTGAGATTTAAATCAATAGAAGTAGTCCATGACATTATCCACCGTCAATCATTTTGGTAATTCTATGAACAATCTCCGTTAAATTGAAGAAACCACCAGTTCAAGTGGATTGGTTGATTTGACTAAAATACCCTCTATTTAATGTAGATTTTTCACGGAATGACCAAAATAATTGGGCTTTTTAGCCAAAATAGTCCGTGAGATTGGCATTACTATTCACTTTGGTCCATGAGATTTGAAATCGATAGAAATGGTCCCTGAGTTTGTCCAACATCAATCACTTTGGTCATTCCATGAAAAATCTCCATTAAATTAAGATGAAATAACAAAAATACCCTCACTTTTTGTCAAGTCATTTTGACTCATTGTTTATTAAAGGGTTTTTATCACCAATGGTCCTGAGATTGACCAAACACATCATTTTGGTCCCTCACTTTCAAAATCAATCAATGTCGTCCCTGACATTTACTACCACACATCAATTTGGTTTTTCCGTTTAGATTCCATCAATTATTATGTTAGTTTGTATGTGGAACCCACAAATCCAATAAAATTGTGACACATGGATTATACAAAGAATGGTTTTTATAAATAGTCCTCGACATTGATCAAACTCCTCATTTTGGTCCCTGAGTTTCAAAAATCAATAAATTTGGTCTCTGACTTTCACTACCGCACATCAATTTAGTCATTCCGTTAAAATTTCGTCAATATTTTTTGTTAGTGTGATAATATGGTCCCACTAATCCAATCATATGGCGTCACATGAATTAAATATAAAAAATAAAAAAAAACTATTTTTTTTAAGATTTAAAACTAAAAGTAAAATAAGAGATTAAAACCTAAAACTAAAAGGAAAAAAAAGACATCATCATCTTCATCTAGGTATGCTAAAAAAAAACAGGAAGGCACCATGACACCACTAAAGCTCTTGGCCTCCTTGAACTCACTCCTCATTCTCTCTAGTTGGTTATAATCCTATCAAATTTTAATTGAATTTGGATTCGATTTTATATTTTAGATTGAATTTTTTTTCCAATTGGGATTGTGGAATACGAGAGAAATGCCAGCACGGGATACTCGTCAGTTAGTTCTAAAAAAAAATAGTTTCTTATAGTTAATCCATTTGGCGTCATATGATTGGATTAGTAGGACTACATCAGCACACTTACAAAAAATATTGACGGAATTTTAATGGAAGGACTCAGTTGGTGTGAGATAGTGAAAGTCAGGGATCAAATTTATAGATTTTTGAAACCCAGGGACCAAAATGAGGAGTTTGATCAATGTCAATGACCATTTGCTACAAAAACCCTTCTTTTGTGTAATCCATGTGTCACCATTTTATTGAATTTGTCAGTCCCACATACAAACTAACATAATAATTGACGGAATCTAAATGGAATGACCAAATTGATGTGCGGTAGTGAATGTCAGGGACGACATTGATTGATTTTGAAAGTGAGAGACCAAAATGATGAGTATGGTCGATCTCAGTTTATTAAATCGAGGTTCATTGTTTATTAAATAGAGGGTATTTTTTCCATTTGGTCATTCCTTAACTTGCACAAAGTAACCAAAATGATTGATAGTGGACAAACTCAAGGACCATTTCTATCAATTTCAAATCTCATGGAACAAAGTAAGGAGTTATACTAATCTCATAAACCATTTTAGCTAAAAAGCCAAATGATTGGCAGTAAACAATTGCAAGAACTTCTTCGATCGATTTTAAATCTCAGTGACCCAAGTGAGGAGTTAATCAATATCAGGGACAATTTTAGTTAAAAAGCCTAAATTGTATAATGCGAATCGTTATTAACATTTTAAAATAGTTATCTTATGTTTTTTTTTTATATTCTTTATTTCACTCTATAAATATAAGTGCATAATGATGTTTTTGTCGTATGGATAACGATTCCCTATTTGAATATGAGATTCATTTTTCAATCCCCTTTGTAGTTGAAGGTAGTATTAAAAAAAGCAGCCGTCCACGACCACAACCATGCCCTTTCCAACAACCCATCTCTCTCTTTGTACAAAATATTCAAGCCAAAGATGATGCAGAAGAGTTTCTATCTTATTATTTGACCTCCAAACGTCTTATTGCTTGAAAGACTGCCAATAAATATAAAGACGAAAAAGTTTTGCAGTAGTGCGTACTTTTTTTCAATTCAAACAATATTAATATTCTAAGCTAGATGAAAGGGAAGATGAGAAACTTATCTATAAGAGAAATCCATCATTTAATGTAGGGGTGCATATATTCAAATTAGATAAATCTAAGGATGTAATGATAGCAAATAATCGAACCACTAAGGGGTGGCTCAGTGTATGGGGTGAATTCTAGGTCGATATTTCACATGACTTCTCTTATATTCGATCTTGATGCTGTGAATGACACAATCATGGTCTAGAAAAGGTTGAAATGATTCTGTAAATCTTCCCGGCTCCCGAAAAGATGGATTTGCGGTGAATTCACCACAGTTGATCCTTTTTAAAAAGAAATGATAGCATATAATATAAATGAAGAGCTTCAGCCAGTGCTAACTGCTAAGTAGTGACAAGATATAGAACAAAAAATTAATTAAACACTTAGATAGTTAACTACGAATATTAATAAGAAAAGAAATAGGACTCATCATGCTAATGATCTAATAAGCACTTGCACTCAAGGTTCTAAATGGTGCTAAGCGCTAATCGAACGTTGGGTAAGGGCCTAGCGCTTAGGCAGGGCCTATATAGCAGTTTTTTCCAATTTGAATGAAATTTATTATATACATCTTGCTAGCCCATTGTAGGCTTAGCCCCCCTCACCCCCTTAGTGTAAATAATATCGTTTGTTAAAAAAAAAAATACATATTGAGATACCTAAATTGTAAAATTGAATGACATATATATTAAAATTATTAGAACATAATGAAAACAAGCATACAATGAGTGTTCATCCAAGTATCCAACAAGTCTCCAATAAGTCTCTTACAACTGATTGAAAATATAAAATGCAAAATAAAAAAATATTTTTTGTCTAAATAAGAGTCGTGAAATAGGCAGTTGAGGGGTCTAGGAGAGTCCTAGGCAGTCTAGACACCCTTTCTTTATTTTCAAAGGACTGGAAATTAGGCGATGTCTAGCTGCTTAGCGTCTAGGCAGGGCCTAGGGGACTCTAGTCGGAGATTTTTAGAAGACTACTTGCTTTTACAAAAACCACCTTATGGCTAAAGAAAAGCAAGAGAGAAAAACCTTAGCTGTCGATCGATCCCTGCTTTTGACGTTGGGGTTGGCAAATCCTTTTTTTTTTCTTCTATCTTTTGATTCTCTCTAATTCATTCTGACGACAAAAAATTGAGAGATGTGTGAAAGATAAAAATCAATGTGTGGATAGCACTACTCTTTACAAAACTTTTCTAAAGTATAAGGGTAATGCTAGGGAGACCAAATTTCTAAACCAAATTTTGTAAACCAATTGATGTGGATGTTGATGATTGGATTATTATTTAAGTGTTGATTAATGTGCTTATTTACTATTAGTGACACATTATTTGGTTTGCAAATTTGGTCTTCCTATCATTATCCAAAGTCTAAAGCAAAGATTAGTAAAGACTACAAAATGGTGGATAGAATTTAAGCATGAGAATAGAGAAATTTTTCTAATTACACAGAATACCAACATAGCCACAAATTATTACACATATTTTTTAAAATTTTAATTAATATATTTTAAAAATTGGATATATGAACTAATCGATTATCCATGTTATAGCATGTGAAAAAGAACATCACGTGCCAATGTTCTACGTACACGCATAAATTTCTCAAAATTTCCCCCTTGGCCTTGATTAGTCGACAGTTTAGGGTTAGTTGATTCGTATATGTTCTTCGGATTTACAACTATTTTGGCCATAATTTAAGTTTAGTCATCATATATCCATAGCTTTCACTACACGAAAAGTAGTCAGCAGTAATGAAGCAACAGACACCGTTTTAATATCTGAGAGAACTTTTAGCACTTCATAATTATACTGACTCAAATTGTCACTTAACACCATTTCACTGGCCTTTACACGATTAGTAAAAGCAACGGGACAGGAAATTGTAAGTGCACCGTTGCTATATTGCCTTGGGAACACTTTTTCGTGCCTATTGAGACCAATAGACACGAACTTGCTTTCATGTCTTTAGGCCAGTTTTTGTTTAATGTTTGTCCTTGTCACCAATACTATCTACTCGACGAAAACGACAATCTTAAACGCCTGAACAATATTAATTAAGATGGTGATTATCTAGCTGCCTTGCAATATTAATTAAAATGAATCGAAGACAAAAACGAGGGAGAAGAACGTACATTAGCATGCAGGATAAAGATATGATTAAGCCATTTTTTAAATTTAATTACATATTTTGTGTAGGAACTTTTTGTCACCTTGCTCAAATTACATGATTTTATGATTCAGCAAACGCAAAGTGTTAAATTGCTCCTGTTTCTGCCTTCTGGTGCTGATATTGGAGGAGCAGAAAAGCAGCCAAAAAATAGGAGTAGCTGACGACAGTTAAAGACACTGGAGAGAAGCCGCTGCATAGTATACAGCGCTTAAAAAGGCATTTCAGTTTTCTAATTACTATCCGTACGAAAATTCCTAGTGCAAGACATTCGTTGACTCTCATC